ACAAGTACATTCTCGCCTAAAAAACTCGTAAAACTACAATCCGTGACAGAAAAACAATATTATTTATAAAATTATAGTGAATTTGTGTGTCTCGCTGTGAGAAATACCGCAAGCGGAGTGATACAAACAGTTGGTGATTGAAATGGTTGGAGTTCCGATGTTTCTAGAATATCTCACGCTGGGAAAAGGCTCTCAGCCAATCAGATTTGAGGACCAGAAAGAACTGTTGCACACACACAAGCAAACACACACACACATATATAAAATGTTTTTGAAAAAAAAAAAAAAAAATTGTTTACTAGTCAAAAATGGGAATCATTAAGATTTTATGTTTTTAAAAGAAGATTTTTATGCTTACCAAGGCTGCATTTATTTGATAAAAAATACAGTAAAATATTAATATTGAAAGATTTTAATACAATTTAAAATAACTGTTTTCTGTTATAATATTTTTTTTTATTAAATTTATTCCTGTTATAGCTAAGCAGAATTTTCAGCAGCTAATGACATGGAAATATATTGCAGAATAGGAATAATTGGATACTGTATGTTAAATAAGAAACATACAGCATGTCCACTTCTTTCACCAAACACAATTCCCGCTGTTCAAGAGCCATCCTTTCCTCTAGAATAATTAATCCACTTAACAGCTGACTCTTCCGTCTGTAAATCCATGTGGCTGGTGATTTTCTTAATTAAATCCTAGGCTGTGTCTTGAAGGCAGACTCTCAGCATCATGACAAAGGGCATTAGCTCCATATCTAATGTGTTGAAGTCACACAAAGCCATTTGGCATAATAGAAAAGCGACCCAAGGCTAATCAGTGCTAATCAATTGGATTGAAATGCTCCTCAAAAAATGATTGAAATTCTTGTTGAGAACATTATGCTGATACTGTAACTGTGACCAATTTGACTTTCGAAACCTTTGATGATCTTTTAGTATCTGGGCACTGCCATCTGTTTTTTAATATTTCATCTCATTCATTCATTAACATTTCTTTTAACACAAGCAATACTGCTACTTTTGATCATACTTAAGGTTACTCTTAGTATAAAACTGTGTTTCATTTGTCCCATATAATTTGTGCTGAGGACATGAATGATTCACAATGGTGCTACTGTATTAAAAAAACACTGGATCCTTGCTATTTATCAAGCTGTATGCTAAAACACTTAATTGGTGAAAATAATCTTTCATCCCATTGTGATTGGCAGCCTTCTGCTGTAGTGCTGGAGAAATGTCATCAGACAGATGCAACATTTGCATTAAAAATCCTGAACTGTAATCAATAAATATCCATGAGCACCTGCATGCACTTTATACTGATGGCGGCGAATGTGAAGCTACTGTAGTACAAAGCTGGCTAATGAATACAAGACTGCTATTAAATCTAATTTAAGAGACAATTAGAAAATGTACTATAATTAAGAGGTGATTAGAGCATAGACTATAATTTAGATAATTACTGATAGTCTCTAGTTATATTTCTGAGACACCCATGAAATCTTACTTATATACACGTTATATTGCTTCATTTTATCCACTAAAATTCCATATTAAATAAATGTGTTTGTTGATTTCACCTTGCTTGTTTCTTTCGCAGATCCTGCAGTTTGGCATCAAAGTAAGGGTGTGTGAATCTAAAGGACATGACGGAAAAGTAAAACAGAGAGTAAATCTGGCAGCTGTCTTCTAATATGTTTAAACACAGACAGTCTGGACTTGTCACAGACAGACGGTTTTAGTTTAAGCTAATTTTATATGACATTGAATCGTCAGAAAGGCTGAGGTGGGGAAACTCTGGGGAAACAAAGTAACAACATGAACCTCTGCTTCTCAAAGGCACCCTCTTATTTTCAACCCAGCTTGTTTCTATAGCAACAGATATGAAAATATATGCTGAACTTTTCATATTGCGCCTCTCTGATAACTGTAAAAATGCTGCTGGAAATTTCAATATGAGACGACTGAATCTGTGCATAATAAGAGATAGAGAGAGAGTTTTATGATAGAGGTTACAGGTATATCTTTCATAATTCTGGTGTCACCTATTATTAAAATGCATCTGATCTAATGTTAATTTGATTTAATAATTTATATACAGTTTTATTATTCAGAATACCTGATTCTGTTTGGTCAATCACAGCATTCAGCAATCTGATGTTTTGTAAAATAATCACCGTCATACACTATGTTGCAGTCCAATCTCTCGTAAAATTACCTCAGAGGACTTAAAGGGATAGTTCACCCAAGATTTTTGGGTGAACTGTCCCTTTATCATTATCATTATCCACCTTATTCTTCAATGTGGAAGTAAGCCGTTTTCTGTCAATGTGTGAGACTTCCGGTTCATTAGCCGCTGTATAGAAATAACGAGAAGAATAACAGTAAGTGCAGTAAACTGCAAAACTGTTTGCACTACAAACTAGTGTGTTAATAATTAAGATAATACATTAAAATAATATGGTAAGACACACCAATTTGCAATATCATGTAGCAAAACGAGCTGTTTTGCACAGCTAAAAATAGCTGGATGCAAATGACCCTGGAAACCAGACCCGTAAAATTTACAAATGGCCAGGCCCACTCTTACAGGAAAATAAGGTGGATAATATTGTTGTAGTGTTTGTCTTATTGCTAGGCTGTTTGTATGTTGTAATGGACTGTATTTGTCTTAGCTTACGATATAAAGGTAAGATTATAAAACAGTTTTATTTATCTGGTGAGCAGTTGTTTTAGTGCTTGTATGTTGTATTGTTTTTTCAGTAATGTTGACAGTTGGATGAGAACAAAACTAGAACTGAATTAAGCTGGATGATGACACTTTTGTCTTCTGTAAAGCTGCTTCGTAGCTCAAATGAACTTGTTTCAAAATGAATGAACTTTACACTGTTATTGATCTGACTTGACTTTAATTCTGACACTGTTGTCTTTTTTGGATCTGCTTTACAGTAGAATCTGAATTGTCTCCATAATTGACTTTTCATATCGATTCTGCCATTTACAAAACAATCTCTATTGTATAAACTGCTATAGAAATAAAGGTAACTTGACTTGACTTATTTGGCTACAATAATGACCAGCACAAGCCTTTTATTAGCCATTTTTGCCCCAGCTGTGTCACATAGACAAAAGTGACATTATTATTGACGTCATGCATTAGTAACCACAGAATAACATGAAAATTGCTCTAGTATGCATTCTTGAGGTCCAGCACTTACAGTAAGTAGGGCAGTGTGCAATAGAAATATTGCATAACAGACAAGTAATATTTCTAAATGGCTGTTTATGTGAAAGTACATGAGGTAAGGCAGTTACATTAATAATTTGTTGCCTTTTGTTTGAAGGAGAAAGCTTGAGTCTGGTGGATGTGAAGAGTAGGTTGTGGCCTTGGTGCTAAATATCTTCTGGCTATATTCCATTTGTGCTTACAAAACAGTAGCCGGTAATCTCTTTATTTGCCTGATCTTTATTTCACCATGCACTTTGCACACATACTTTGTGATTCTAATGATACTTATTAGGAGATTTGTTAGGGTTCGGTTATTATTAATTAAGGTTTTCTTTATTTTTTTATTCTTTAAACAATTGTCGTATAAGTGAAAAGGAACACATTTATGGTTTGATATCTTTGAAGGGGCCTTTAGTTTTACTGATAAGGCTGTGGGGGTACAACTAATTCGGGAAGTACTGCATTAAAATAAAAACTTTTTAAGTGGGATAGCATTCAGAAAAGACTGTCTTTGTATTTCTCTTTTTATGAGACCTTTTCTTTTGTGTCTGAGACCTCGAATATTCACTGTGTTCTGGTTTTGGAAGTTTAGGTGATGACAATTACATGTTATGCAATGTTGACATACAGTACAAAGAAATCCTGAAGAGCTTTCTTTTCTGTTGCTGGCATCTTCATACTGACTTTCCCATACTGACTTTCGCTTCTGAGTAACTGCCTGAGGCACAGACCAGTCAGGCTCCATTGCATATCACATGATCAAAACTAAAACACTCTCACATACAGCTGGCAGAAGTGTCTCAGGTTTACTGAGTGAAGTGACTCGCTTTGCAATATCATATAGATCTAGCACTTCAGTGTCCTTCAGCACCTAGATACTCAATGAACTCTCTCATAGAGCCACAGTTTTAGTACATGCATATTTTACTAATAAACCACCACTATGACAGTAAAAGGGTTAATGTTTAATAAAAGCAAGAATAGAAAGTCATAGTTTCATGAAGTGCTGCTGACAATGTTGCACCCATGTCAGATAATAGAGAAGGCTAGTTTCTTAGGATTTGAGACTGCTTTTTTCATTGTGAAAATGGGAATGCAAAATGTTGCCATTAGGGTTCTCGGAGATGAGGCAAGTGAGAAGGGTGAGACTAATCGCTGCAGTATGCTAAGCGTGTGGTGATAACTGTTTCTGTGAGGGGTAGGTTTAGAAGTAGGGTTAGGGGAATATCATTAACCCGATACAAAATTAGTGGAAGCAGTTACGGTCATTACGGTTCAAAAATTTGAGGTCAGTGCAATTACTTAAAATGTTTCTGAAATGCTCAATACAATGTAATATATATGTATTTTTTTCTATTTAAATATATTTTAAAATGTAGCATTTATTTTAAAATGCAGCATTTATTTCAAATATAAATCTTTTGTAACATCTTCATTCTTAGTTATCAATTTAATGCATCCTTGCTGAATAAAAGTATTCATTTCTTTTGAATATATATATATATATATATATATATATATATATAGGTATGTATGTATATCTATCTATGCATGTACAGTATGTGTGTGTGTATGTATATATATGGGTACTTGGCTGAAAATGAAGACACCCTATGGTTGTAGGGTCTAAAGTACACATAAATTTGATTACACAGTTTATGAGAATTGTACTGACAGCCAACACCCATGAATCACAGTGAAATAGTGTGGCCATTTACACACTTCAGTAGTTTTTCATCACAGTTTTTCATTTGTCCTTTTGCAGGTGGCCAATCTCCTGCGTCTTTTCCAGATTCCTCAGATCAGTTATGCCTCCACCAGTGCGAAACTGAGTGACAAATCCCGTTATGATTACTTTGCCCGGACTGTACCCCCTGACTTCTACCAAGCCAAAGCTGTGGCTGAGATTCTGCGCTATTTCAACTGGACTTATGTCTCCACAGTTGCCTCAGAGGGTGATTACGGTGAGACAGGTATTGACGCCTTTCAGCAAGAGGCCCGGGCCTTGCAAATCTGCATCGCTACGTCCGCCAAGGTCAGTCGCTCCATGGACCCCTACAGTTATGAAGGAGTAATCAGATCTCTGTTGCAGAAATCCAATGCTAAAGTAGTAATCCTCTTCACCAGAAGTGAAGACGCAAGAGAGCTCCTGGTTGCAGCAAAGCGCATGAACGTCTCCTTCATCTGGGTGGCCAGCGATGGTTGGGGGGCACAGGAGAGTGTGGTGAGAGGGAGTGAGAGTGTAGCAGATGGAGCTTTTACCATTGAGCTTGCATCCTATCCAATCCCTGAATTCGCAACATACTTCACAAACCTCAATCCTTATAATAACACACGTAACCCCTGGTTCAGAGAGTTCTGGGAAAATCACTTTCAGTGCAGCCTGCATGATATTAATTGTGGGAAACATTCTCTCCGGGATGGCAAATTCGAGCAGGAGTCCAAGATCATGTTTGTGGTGAATGCTGTCTACGCTATGGCCCATGCCCATCATAACATGAGACAAGCAGTGTGCGCAAACACCACCAAACTCTGCAGTGCCATGAAACCAGTCAATGGAAAAAAGCTGTACAAGGACTACATCCTGAAGACAAAATTTGATGGTGAGTTATAGCTTCAAAAGTTTGATTTTATATATTCTGTCATTATTTACTCACCTTTGTGTTGTTCCAATTCCATAGTTTTCCAGCTTTCATGGAAACCAAATGATGGTTCACGTTGCGAAATGCTCACACTGTTCATTTTCAAAAGCAGGTGCCCCAAAAGGACTAAAAAAAAAACATAAAACTCATAAAAGTGGTCCATATGACTTTTGCCATATTTTCCAAGTTTTCTAAAGCAATACATCAATTCTTCACTTTGTGCAAAGAACGGACTAAAATTTTATGTTATTAACCAAAATCTTCCATTATAGTGAACCGATCTAGTAAACATCATAGTAAACTATATATATACTGTATATTGAAGGATATACCTGTAAATAAATAGCCCTAATATTTGAACTCCTTTTTTTTTTTTTGCTTTATTTAACCATATTTATGGATGGCTTCCATATGCAGTTTTCAATCATCTTGAATCTTGGGATATCTATTCATATTCACCCCAAGAAAGAAAGTTTATATTTGCACTCATCCAGTAGTTTATCTCAAAGTAAACACCAGTTGAGCAGTATATCTATGTCTGTTCTTTATTAAGTCAAAGAAATCAATTTGAAAGATACATGGATCTAGGAAGTTTCCCTCAGGGGAAAACTGCTGCTGTAAAATAGATTACACTAATGCATGAATGCAACATATGACCTGCATACAGTCTAAGTGTTTTATTACATGCATTAGCCTCATTAGCCCCATGCTAAATTCTGAATGATTTAAACAAGTACAAGCAGGGATGTATAATCAATGTTTGTGCCGAGTGGTGGTCATTTGGTTGTATTAGGGAACTAATGGAAGTCTGTCAGTTTCCTATATTCCTTATCTATTTCAAAATCTTTTTGCCATCTGACTGCTTTTTCATGATGTTCTTCCAAGAATGCCAAATTACATCATAGAAACCAGGCGATGTATCAACCTCCTGACCTCAATTATGTAAATGTACCATTCGCACCTGAGTCCAGTGCATCTACAAACCTAATGAGAAATGTGCCGGGCAGGATGCTGAAGAAAGTAGGGCAGACTTACCTAAGAAGGTCTTTCTGGGTTGTAAATTTTTCTGCTTACAAAGAAAAACACTTTGCTGCTGTAAAATATCTATTCATCTGTTGCCAAGAATGTAAATAAATTATGTTTATCATTTGCACTTTGTGTCCGCAGCTCCATTTCGCCCAGCTGATACAGATAACATTGTTCTCTTTGATGCTTATGGAGACAGTCTGGGCCGATACAACATCTTCCATTATCACAAAGAGAATGACGAGTACGTCTATAGGAAAGTGGGATACTGGGCCCAGGATTTAAGTCTGAACACAAGTCTGATTCCTTGGGAAAGCCAAGTGGTGCCCACGTCCCAGTGCAGCGACCCATGTAGGAAAAACGAAATTAAGACCATGCAGCCTGGTGACGTCTGCTGTTGGATTTGCATTCCCTGCCAGCCCTACCAGTACCTTCTGGATGAATTCACCTGTGCGGATTGTAGCTTTGGACAGTGGCCTTTGGACAATCTCACAAGGTGTTACAATTTACCCGAGGAGTACATTCATTGGGAGGATGCTTGGGCTATTGGGCCGGTCACCATAGCTTGCCTTGGCATGCTCTGCACACTCTTTGTCATTGGCCTCTTCTTAAAGAACAATGAGACGCCGGTGGTGAAAGCTAGTGGACGTGAGCTCTCCTATATTCTTCTCATAGGTGTCCTACTTTGCTATTGCATGACCTTCATCTACATCAGCAAACCGTCTGCCGTAGTGTGCACGTTACGGCGGCTCGGCCTGGGAACTTCCTTCGCCGTTTGTTACTCTGCGTTGCTGACCAAGACCAATCGCATTGCTCGGATTTTCAACGGCGTTAAAGATGGAGCTCAAAGGCCGAGGTTCATCAGTCCAGCTTCACAGGTGGCCATCTGTGCTGCTCTCATTTCCTGTCAGCTCCTGGTTGTGGTGGTCTGGCTTCTGGTTGAGGCTCCTGGGGTGAAAAAGGAGGTCAGTCCTGAAAGAAGAGACGTGGTGACATTGAAGTGCAACAGCAAGGACTCTAGCATGCTGATGTCTTTAACCTACAACTGTGTCCTCATCATCTTCTGTACCTTTTACGCCTTTAAGACTCGAAAGTGCCCAGAGAACTTCAATGAAGCCAAGTTCATCGGCTTCACCATGTACACCACTTGCATAATCTGGCTGGCTTTCCAGCCAATCTTCTATGTTACTGCCAGTGACTATAGGGTAAGTAAATTAGAACAGTGCAATGCAGCAATACATGCCATTTCCTCACCAACAACACTCAATAGCTTGTCAGCTTCTTTCTATGAAAATAATAACCTCTAAATCAGAGCTTTATGTTAGAGTCAAAGTGAAATGTTATTTGCAACCTATTTTACTTCCATAATGAGTGCAACAGGATATTCAGCAGGTTACTGGATTGTGAGAAGTGTTGTAGAACAGTATGGAGTCAGGTGGTTTGGAGGAGAAAGGTTGAAACTAAGAGGGATTTGTAATGTCAGCCCAAGAAAGGAAAGTCCTTTTAGAGGTGGAGTCAATTATATAATAATAATAATAATAATAATAATAATACAATTGTTTTTCAAACAAATATTTTGAGCACCAAACCAGCATATTAGAATCATTTGAAGAATGCAGTAATGGCTGCTGAAAATTCAGCTTTAAACATCTTACTAGATGTGTATACATATTATCATTGCACAATAATACCAGGAGCATGTCAAAAACAATAATTTAGATTTTTTTTGTTCACTCTAAAGATGATATCATAGTGGAGTTTTGGCTATGCTCCCTCAATGTTGTTAATGAATGCTTTGCCTGAGTGTTCTGTATAACAATGTGATTTCTTTAAGAAGTAAATCATGTGCCGAGGGGATATTACCGGCTCTCCTCTGGGAATATATATCAGAGGGGCTGTTTCAAATCACACTGCACACACAATGACAGCATGGAATATTTTTCATCATTTCGATAATGAGCTTCTCTTATAACCCTTAATCACTTTCCTACAACTGACTTTGAGTTGGAGAGCTTGCCTGACTGATTTTTTTTGTTACCGTTCCTGCCAATTCAGATGGCAGATAGAGAAATCTCTTTGATCACCTGTCTTTTACACTGATGAAAGGAGAAGCTCACATGTGGCTCAAAAGCTGTTCAATGTAGAGCAAAGAAAGTGGGGATATTTCATCCTAGCAAATGGCTAGCCTATGAAAACCTGCTATTCAATTGGTCAAGTACCTCAGGATTACAAAGAAATCAAAAGAAAAATATCCTAATGTTTATTTTCAATTCAAATTATTATCTAACATTATTATTAATATTTGGTTGGTTAAAATTGCACTGTAGTGAAAATTGTGAATCAAAGCATTACAGTGCAGCACAAATTTTTGCAATGTATAATTTTATATATTAATATGTCCAAAATAGTCTGACATCACAGTACTGGTAAAGACAGTCAGCACTGCTGGTAAAACAGCCACTGTATAATGTATTTGGATGCTCTAGTGAGCAAAAAGAAGGATAGAAACATGATCCAGAGATGTTAATGGCTGTAGGGGGCTTCTGCAAGTGTTGGTTCTACATCATCTATCAAGACTAGAAAGAATACAGACAAAAAAGAGACAAAAAGGCATCGGGAGAGAAAAGGGAATCTCCTTGAGTTCTGATTGGACAGGATGTCATTCTCTGTTCAGGGTTTCTGCGTTTTGTATTTGTGTGTGTGTGAGAGTGTGAGGTGATGTGTTAGAGCATGGGAGGATGATGCCCAGCTGGGGCCTGAGCTCAGAAAGCAAGGTGTGCCTTAGAGACCGAGACCTCGCCACACTCCCACACACACTCACAGGAAATGCTACAGCCTCATTCATCCCCGCAGATATCATTTTAGTTCTATCTTTTTTGCTTCTCACCTACCAACTACAACACTAATACGCAGAAGAAAGAGCACACTGCTTGTAAGATTAAAATCATAAAAGACTAAGATTATAATCAGAACCAGACTTAAAAAATCTGGAACCCAAATATAATAGTGGGGTCAAAAATCCATACTATAAAATTTTGGATTCAGGAATTAATTAATTTTGGAATCCTGGAAATAAACGTGAAAACAGCCTACATTGTTCATTTCAGTTAGTTCATTCAGATATAGAGTTTAACGACATCAGCCTCAATATATACAAAATGCAAAATAACCAATAATAGTAATAATAATAATAATACAGAAATAATAATAATAATAATAATAATAATAGTAGTAGTAGTTTACTAAAATAATATATGTAATACATTATTCCTGTTATCTGAGTTTTTTTGAGAACTATTTCCATTTGCAATTGGGTACTTGCCTGTGTGTTTGTTAGTGTAGTTACCAGAGTCGCTTCAGATACCAGTCTTTCACTCTTGAGATATTTTGTTAAAGAACACTCAGTGTGATATTCTATATGAAAATTGCATGTTTAGTTAAGATAAGACCAAGTCTTGCTGGGAAAGGATATAAGACCTTTCCTAGCACAGCTCTCCTCTGCATTATTTAAAAGCACTTTGGTTTATTCTGACACATTGCCGCTCTCACATAAACACATTTAAATCTAACATACTGGAAAAAATAAAGAATGAGCAACTCTTTGTTCATTTGGCATTGAGAAGAAAACTCTTGCAATTATTTAACAAGGTCGTATTGAAGTTTCTCCAATCTGCGACCCTGAGAGGGCTGTTAACCGAAATGTTTTGTGATCCAGTTCAGATCAAAACAAGCAGTAGTTAGCTGTTTATACTCAGAATAAAAAAAGAAACCTTTGTGTAATGAAAATCCTCTTGTTGCCCAACTCAAAGAGCATAGCAATGCCAAGGTCGTGAGGTTTGTTGCAAACCCCAGGGAATGCACATACTGATAAAAATGTATAGCTTGAATGCACATCGATTTGGATAAAAACATCTGCCAGATTAAATGTACAACGATACAAGCAAACATCTCAGCCAAAACAGTGAAAATCTTAGAAATAGTTCCTGTTGATTCACCCCCTCTCTCATCAAAATGTTATTAGTATGCATGAGATTGCTTAGACACGGCACACACACCTGCTTTGTACATGGATTCATCCTCTTAAGATACATCTTCAGCCGCATAGGCTTTGGCAACACTTTGGAATTGAGTTCAATGGAAAAATAAATTCAATCCATGTTAACATCCTTGACGAAAATGAATCAGCCAGTCAGGTGGTATCACTGTGTAAATGTAAAGGTGGTGTAATCACTTTTTTGTGTCTACTCTCTCAGGTACAGACCACTACCATGTGCATCTCTGTGAGTCTGAGCGGTTCAGTGGTGCTGGGCTGCCTCTTCGCTCCCAAGATCCACATCATCCTCTTTCAGCCCCAGAAGAACGTCACCACGCTCAGAGTGGCCACCACTCGATTCAGTGTGACCACTGGCCCTGGCTCCAGCTTCTCTCAAAGTACAGTATTATTTACTATCTCTATCAGAATCATCAATATAATCAACAGCAGCTGTTTAAATAAAAAATATGGATTAACTGTTGTCACCCATATTCAAAAATATGGTTTGCCAACGTCTGAACCAACTTCAGAAATGAAAGATATTGATCAAAATATTCAGTACTGTATGATGGCGAAGTAATATTGGAAAATAAACATAAAGTATAATTGATTCTGTGAGTGCAGGTATTTGGCTTTATTGCATTGCACTGATACTGCTGCAGCATACTGTATGGGAATCTGACAAAATGGTTCAATAACATATCCCCCCCCCCCAAAATAAAAAAATAAATGAAAAATGAGTATTATAATATAAAACGTTTTTCTTTTGCACTATGATACAATTACTCTCATTACCATAATGCAAAAATACTAATTCTCAATAATGTACTATGAAAATAATAATTATATATTTTAGTATTTGTGGGTTTAATCAATTAAAAAATATACCACAGTGATTTATGCTGTATTGTAGTAATACAAATGTAAGGGGAACTGAGAATAAAGGAAATTACAAAAAAATAATAAAATAAAAAACAGTGAGGAAATAGTGTTAATTGGCCGTGAATTAAGAATTTGTTGTACTAATTAATTCCCTAATTTTAGTAAATCGTGGCCACTTAATTTGTACTAATTTGTTCCCTCATTTTAATTAAATCAAAACAAGGAACAAATTAATACAAAGTGGCCATGATTTACTAAAACAAGGGAAATGAATTGATAAGTCATTGGAACATATTCTTAATTCAAGGCCACGATTGAATTAAAACTAAGAAACAAATTAATAAAATCGGTGAAGGAATTAATTACCATCTCAGATGTGTAATATATTTCTAATGATTTAACGGCACGTTGTCAATTATTCCACACACACACACACACACACACACACACACACACACACACACACACACACACACACATATCTGTCAGCATGTTATGTGCAGGGCTCTGAATTAAAGTAAAAAATCATGATTTAATGAGATTCACCAAAATACTTGAAACCATATATTGAATGGCAATGGTAATACACTGTGATTTGCAGTTTACAATATCTTTGTTATTAATAATGTCTTTACAGCCTCCGCCTCCAATATTGTGCCTACAGTATGTAATGGCAGAGAGGTAGTGGACTCAACAACATCCTCACTCTGAGAAACAGGATTCCTGTTTGTTTGCCAAACGCGGTATACAGATAAATCTTATCTTCACTAGTCATGAAATCAAGTGTTTGCTAATGTTGAGGAGACTATTCAGAATAAAAAAAAAGCCTGTTATGTTGTTCTCAACGTGCTGTGAGTACAATATCCCATTTTGTTTCTCTCTCTCTTTCTCTCTCTGGCTAGTTAGATAATATCAGTGGGATGCCAGTTTAAACTCTGTATACCTGTTCTTTTTATGGAAACCATAATAAAGTATTGTTTGAGATATGGAGTTAAAATATAGTAAATCTGTTTAAAGTATTATATACAAGATGTTTTTAATGTAGATTTATGGTGATTCTGGTTTGTGCTTTCTTGTAATTTATGTAAATAAAACGTGTTTTATATGAATACAAGCTCTCCTGTTTGATTTAACTTGGAGCTCTCTTGTGGTAGTTCAGGATTATATGATATTATATTATAATTTATATTATATTATATTATATTATATTTATTATATTATATTATATTATATTATCAATTACCATCACTGTACATTGGAGAAAATTAGACACATCAGCTTATTTTTTTAAGATTAAATATTTACAAAAATGTTCATGGCACAGAGTAAAACTTGTATATTATCCCCATCTAGAGGATATAGTTGCTCATTACATCAAATTGGGTGAGATCAGCTTTTATTGTTAAACGAATATTCATGTTAAATGCTAATTAGTTGGACCGTGTAAATGCCCCGATTGTCCTTTTTATAATATAGGTGATATGCAAATGCAAAATGCAATAAATTATGCCCCCCAATTTCATTGTTTCATAAAGTCATTATAGTAGTTACCAAGTTCGAAGTAAACCATTAAGAAAAATTACACGGCAAAATAATGTAAATGCTGCAGTTACTGCACTACATATTTAATGCACATACAGCTTCACATATGCAGCCTATCACAGTCTGACCCATGTTACAGAAAGGGTAAAGGATATAGGCTACACTGTGTTGCACACTCAATCATTGGTGGGCATGGTGGCAAAATAACAAACAGGAAATTGTCCTGTCAACCTGATACATTCATTGTTTGTGATGGTTATATCTGCGGTCATTTTCTGCCTTATTTATAACAGTGAGGCCTGCTGCTGAACTGTCCATATAGTCCCACTGGAGGTTTGTTCATTTTAGACTGTTACTTTTAAACAGTATTATTAAGTGCTTCCTTTCAAGCACTGCTTCCATTTAAGTAAGTCAACATTATAGTTTACATTAAGCGAGAAGCACAAAGTTGATTACTCTGAAATAATTTTAATGTTGTATAGTGCCTACTAAAGATTTGAAGCAACTTGTATTACGCAAAATACTGTCATAACTTGACAAATAAGTCAAGTTATTCACTTTTTTTTTTTTTTTTTTTTTTTTTTTTTTTTTTTTTTTTTTTTTTTTTTTTTTTTTTTTTTTTTTTTTTTTTTTTTTTTTTTTTTTTTTTTTTTTTTTTTTTTTTTTTTTTTTTTTTTTTTTTTTTTTTTTTTTTTTTTTTTTTTTTTTTTTTTTTTTTTTGCGGGATGTCCCCTTTAAGATACACCAGAACCCGAAACGTTGGCGTGTATGATATTCACTAAAAACTAAAAACTATAAACAATAGGCCTTGAGGACAAGGTTTATTGATTGATTTGATTGAACGTCATGAATTGCAACTTCGGTAACATGGTATACCGAAAGAAAAAATAAAGAAAATTCTTAAAGTTATAGCATATTTATTTATGGTTTTATAGTACTGCAGTAACTATGGTATTTTGAGGTAAACAGTTACAGAGTAAATGTTTGATTTCTGAACGCCTGGGCAACGAAGGGGTGTGAGGTTGGCGTAAACTTGCTCAGAAACACCAAAGTCAGGCTGCAGACAGTCCCGAAGTGTGAGAGTGAATCTGCAAACTTGGACAGCACGGACACTAGCAGGTCAGTATAATTTCGTATGACTAATAATAAAATCGCCAGTCATTTTTATCAGTCATATTGCACTGTAGACTATATGTTGTTACAGGTATGTAAAGCTACAGCTGCAGGTGTGCATAAAGAACACTCAGTTTAGCTCCAAGCTTTGCGTTAACGACATAGCACCTGACTCGCCGAGATTATGAACACGATTTCACATATATGACATTGTATGTTTATTCGTGAACATATTTGTCAGTTAGCAAATGTTTTCATTGTCGACTAGACACACCCCCGTGGATAGGCTGCGAGGAAGATCTACGTCACTAACAGTAAACTCCAGCATCTGTCTCCAGCACATGTCTCAGCAGTACTGTGTTGATTTATTATTAGCAATCTTTTGAAATTTGATATCATACCATTGAAACTTTTTATCAAACAGGATGGTTGCTTACTAATATTTGGAATATTTTTTTTACAAATTCCCAGTTGTTCATTATAGAAGTTACACGTGCATTACAAAAAGCTTCTCAAAGGTGAAATGTTTAATTGTAATATTGCAATGAAAAACTACTTAAGATTTCCATTTATAAAATGTATTTTAGAAATTTTGAGATAAATATGAACGGGACATGACACTATACCATATAAACATACCAAATATAAACTTATTTTTAAAATAAGTTAAAAAAATTAATAAATTATGATTAATTATGAACAGAGAGGAAAGAGGATGGCGCCTAAGAGAAGGGCAACATCAAGCACCAAAGTTGGAGGGAAGAAGGTTAAGGAGGAGCCTGAAGCTGTCCCGAAGGACAAGTTCACCTCTGCCAAAGAGGCTCTGAAGGCAACAGGTCCACAGGTGAAGGGCACGAGGAACCCAGACATCTTCTGTCGTCTATCAAATGCTGAGGTGAGACTGAACGAGTAATTCAATTGCAAATTAGTAATGCAAATGTAAAAAGTAATGCAAATTATTACTCAAATTACTGCTTGCCCTGAATCACAAAAAAGTTTTGATCTAAACATACAGGTTCACGAAGATTACGACTGTATGTTGAACCAAACCAACATTGGAAACAACAATAACAAATTCTATGTAATCCAAATCAGCGTCTGGAGGAGAGTACTATTGTTGGACAAGATGGGGTAGAGTGGTAAGTTAGTTTCTTTTGTTTGTCAATCAAATATATCACAACATGATGTGCAAAAATGGTCTTGTAGCATCTAATGGATGACTTATTTTTGCTATCTTTCACTGTTTCAGGGAGAGTCAGGCCGAATCAATTTAGCCGGTCCATCTACCGCTGATGTAGCCATTAAGAGTTTTGAAAAGAAATTCGAAGAGAAGACAAAAAATAATTGGAGCGATCGAGAAAACTTTGTCTCGCATTCTGGGAAGTACACATTGATAGAGGTAGACGGCGACCAGGATGCAGAAGTGAAGGTATTAAGCCTGTTTGTCTTTTTTTTTTTATTACATCCTTGATTGAACCTTGAAGTTTTCAAAAGAATAACACATTTGACCATTTCTAATATTTTGTGTTTCATGCAGGTGGACACTGTAGATGGTGGAGATGTCAAGGTGAAAAGTGAACAAGTTCTGCCTTGTACATTGGATGATGCAACTCCAAGACTCATTCGATTCATCTTCGACAACGACATGTTCAAAGAAGCCATGACCAGCATGAACCTGGGTTAGTTTATCATGATATAGCATTGAATCGTTGAATGGACTTTAAGTCCCAGTTCTTCTGTTCCTTTCAATAGCCATGTTATTGTGGTTCTTTTTGATAGCTGAGAAAAATAAGTTATGTCTTTTAAAACTCTATGAAGACTGCAGTTCACACACCTATCTACCACTTGTCTGTAACATTGAATAAGATCCATTTTTATGGAGGAGTTTCATGTTTCGCATATTTCTCTGTCAGATATTAAGAAGATGCCCTTGGGGAAACTCAGCAAGCAACAGATAGCCAAAGGTTTTGAGGCTTTGGAGGAGATTGAAGCTGCAATAAAGAAGGGGGAACGGAACAAGTTAGAAGAACTCACCAACAAATTCTTCACCATAATTCCTCATAACTTTGGCCGAAACAGACCCCCAGTCATCTCTGATGATTCTGTCCTTCAGGGCAAAAAAGAGATGCTTTTGGTGAGATTCACAGCAGTTAATGTGTACAGAGTTTGATGAAATAGTGGCTAGTTGTCGCACTTTTTACTGTGTTTCACAGATAGGGTTATTGGTTAGTCAAATCATACATAGGCCAAAAAAGTATTGGCTACAAAAAACACATCGATCTTGTGTGTTAGATGAATGAGCAATGTAAAGTGCTTTGCCATCTGTATAAGAATTACCAAAATCCAAATTTCCCTAATATGCTTGTATCTTGTAGGTTCTTGCAGACATCGAGGTTGCCCAGAGTCTTAAAGCTGAATCCGAGAAAGCCAAAGAAGAGATGAAGGACATGGTGCCTCATCCAGTTGACCAAAATTACCAGTCTCTAAAATGCAAGCTAAGCTTAATGGATAAGAAGTCAAAGGAATTTAAGGTTTCCATGCACAGAAATCTATATAGCCTGAGTCTACAATGGGGAATCTGGGATTCAAAATCTAATTTTAATCTGGAAATAAAATATATATATTTTAAATTATGCATTGCATATTGTTAGCATAATACTGATCAGTTTAAAGAAGTTTAATTAGCAAGATTTTTAGTATGTGTTAACTACAGAATATGACGTAGTAATATTGCAAAACTATATATTTTTATTATACTATTAACTTTTTATTTGATTAACTTTTATATTTTTATTATACTATTAACTTTTTTTAAATTTCAGTTTATTTCCAGATTTAAATAAAAAATTACTGAATACATTAATACATATTGAACACCTTGTGAATGATGTTATAAAAGTAATTGATCTTGAGTTGTGGTTTGAAATGCAGTGCAGCACTCAAAAATGTTTTCCCTCTTAAGATTATTGAGAAGTACTTGAATGCCACTGGAAGAAAAGGACTCACTTTGGTGGATGTCTGGGAAGTTGAGAGAGATACAGAGGTGAATAGTATTGCGTAAAGCATAGTAAGCGTTATTAAAGTAAACAGTAAAACTGTAACAACAAAAAAATCTTACTGTTTAAATGCATTGTAGTGTTTTTCTATTTGGACTCCTTTTAGATGCCCATTAGATTCCTAATTTAATTTCATACCAGCAGTAAGCATTTGGCCTCAGTGTGTGTTCTGAATTCTGTTCATTACTGAGTCTTCTTCTCCTAATGAAATCCTTTGTGTGTGTGTGCATGTGTGCATTTGCTTGTGGATAGGCTGAGCGTTTCAGGGAAAATTATGCATTGGAGAACCGGAAGCTGCTTTGGCATGGAACAAATGTGGCAGTGGTCGCAGCTATTCTGAAGAGCGGCCTTCGCATTATGCCCCATTCTGGTGGACGTGTGGGCAGGGGAATCTATTTTGCCTCTGAAAACATCAAATCTGCTGGCTATGGTGAGGAATGGGACCATAGTTTATTGCATTGTTTGCATCAGTATAGACTTCAAATGAAAAAGCACAATATAAACACATGTAGTTTAATTAGATACAACATGGCAACACAGTGGCCAGGATTGCTTGGTAATGTGGTAGACATTACTAATAGGCACTTTTTTTTAATCTCTGAAATGATGTTTTTTTTTTTTTTTTTTTTTTTTTTTTTAG